GTTGTTTACTTATTTTTATTATTTGAGAATCGTTTGATAATTTTATTGTTTGTTGAAATCCCATCTCCCTTAGTCCCTCCCTGTTCTTCCCACCACTTTCCCCTCCCAAAGTCATATAATTGTCTTTATTCTTAAGACCCACTGAGCACACTTAGTGATTCCAGGATGGGAATGCGCATAGGATATGTCCTGGAGGGAACATAGCCAGCCTCTCGGGATGCATCCCTGAAGAAACTCTGACTCTCTTAGTAGCCATTAGTTATCAGTGGCTCTTCAGCCTTCCTCCTCTGTCTGTGGTGGGATTTGTCTGGCTTGATCTTGTGCACGTCTAATGCATACTGCCAGAGCCTCTGTGCTTTTTGACATGTGCTCTGGGAATCAACCACATACAGGTCTTCATGATCACAAGGCAAGCCTTTTACTGACTAAGTTACCCCCAGTCCTGGCTTTCTTTCTTGTTCAGCTTCCTCTCACATCTCTTTGGATCCAGCACAGAAGCCCTCTTTTTTGCCCACAAGGAGAATGTGCCCTCCTCTCATTTGGTTCATTGTTCCTTCTGCTTGGACTGTCTCTTCCATCCCCCAGAGCTCACCCTTCTCATCATTTTGTAGTTGCACAGAAAGATGACTGCTCTGGTGGTTCCATTCCGATGTTACTCAATCTCATTCTATACTGTCCCTAATTATATCTGGTCCACCAGAGCGCTCTGTTGGATCAGTGTTTTCATAGCACTTGCCACTAGCAACAGTTATATTACTCAAACAGTTGGCTTGCCATTTGTCATGTTTCCCAACATTAGCTGTAATTTCATTAATAGTAAAGACTTGGTTTTCCTGTCTTGAGCACCTGGATGGATCAATAAATGGTTTAGGGTGTTTAAAAAAACAAAAACAATCAAACCCCCAAAATCTCTATGTGCTGAGTGAAAAATAATAATAATAATAACCTCTGTGTGCTGACTGCAAAAAAATACCTCGGTGTGCTGAGTGCATTGATGAACTGTGTTTAGACTCTTGCCAGGAATCACTTTGATTGTGCTTTGACTGTGATATGTACCCCTGCCCCATATGCCCATGTATGTAAACACTTGGTCCCTGGTGGAGGTACTGTTTGTGAAGGCCATGGAATTTTGAGGAGGTGGAGCTTTTCTAGAAGAAGTAGGACACTGGGTGTGGGATTTGAGATTTTACAGCCCAGTCTAAGTTGTTGCTTCCTCTCTGCTTCCTAAGTGTGGTTACAGTGTGGCCAGCCAGCTTCCTGATTCTGACATCATGGTTTGTTTTGCTTTTAGGCCTTTTTGGAGATAAGTTGGCTATTTCTGGCACATGCTGGCATACAGGGTAGCATTCATGAGTATAAAGAAAGCTGGGAAAGGTCCTAATAAGGATGTAGGGATGCTATATTTGGGCATAAGGGTATATTCCTGGGGTCTATTTCAGTAGTAAACAGTCAAGAGTATATATTTTACATGATAGCTTTACACAGAATCATGCAGGAATCCAGGTGAGATATTAATTGTCCTGTGGAAATAGTGTGATGAAATTCAGAACATGCTAATTGAGTATTCATGACAATGCTCTAGAACACTGCTCCTATGAGTAATGAGAATTGGCTTCCTATGCATATATGCATGCTGGCAATCTTAGGTAGTGGACATAGAGAAATTATCAAAACTTACTGAACATTAAGTGGCCCAGGATCATTAGCTCAGTTGCTAAAGAGTTGATCTGGAATATGCCCTTCACATTCTAAGTTGGTTTTTGTTTTTCTTCCTCACCAGGCTTTTCCCTTTGTCTTTTTGTTTTGTTTTGGTTTTGGTTTCGTTTTTCGAGACAGGGTTTCTCTGTATAGCCCTGGCTGTCCTGGAACTTACTCTGTAGACCAGGCTGGCCTCGAAGTCAGAAATCCACCTGCCTCTGCCTCCCAGGTGCTGGGATTAAAGGCGTGTGCTACCACCACCAGGCTCCCTTTGTTTTAATTAACTGTAAAATCTTCACATTCATGAATACGTGCATGCACGTCCCACAGGACACATATGGAATTTAGAGAACAGCTTATGAGAGCTGTTTCTCTCCCTCGACCATGAGGATCCTGGTTGAACTCAGGTCACTGGGCTTCTATATGTGCTGAGCCACCTCCCTGGCCCTGATAGTCAATCTTAAAAGAGAAGCACACAGATCTTTTTTTCTTCAAAGTTGAGTTGTTAACAAAATGCGTACAGTTTTGGGCTTTACCATGAGTGTGGAAGTCTGACCATTAGCAAAGATGTAGAGTGTCACAGCTATGAAAACACTATGGGCCCCTATACTTTGTTCCCTCTCTGAGCGTAACTTAAACTGGTCTGAGAGGAACTCACTTCCACTATGGGAGTGGACATATCTATATACTGTCTCAAATCATCACTGGTGTGTACATATGTTTGTGTGCAAGTGTATGTGCATGTTTGTTCAGGCCCATCTCACATTGCATTCTTCAGATACTATCTACTTTGGGTTTTTATTTTGTTTTGTTTATAACTGTAGAAACAACAGCTTATTTTTTGGCCTTCTACCACCTCCCCAGAAGTGGGTCACAGGTGTCACCATACTTACCTTATTCTGGAGGGGTGTAGGGATGGAACTTAGGAACTTGTGTTTGCAAGGCAAACATTTTATGAACTTAGCCATCTCCCCAACCAAACACTATTGCTTTTTAATTCACAATGTATTGATTATATACAGAGATCATAGATAAAATTATATTCAGAAATCTTCACAAAACTAACTAGCATGGATCAACCTCCTGGCGAAGTTTTTTATACATGTGGATGTTATACATATAGACTTATATGCTTTATATGCATATGCACTATAAGGTACAATTGTTTACATATTTAATAGCATATTTAAAAATATGTTAAAGTTCAATGGATCCTTCGAAGTATCTGGGTGAATGCAGTTTGAGAATGCATGCCTCCACTGATATTGTTTCCTTTTGTGTAGAGAACATGAGTTCCTTAAAGGTAGAGATTATCATGTTTTGCTTTGGTATTTCAGATGATCCTAACTTAGTACTAAATATAAAGAAGTCAGCCAGTAATGGATAATCCAGTTTAGGCTAAGTGGTTAGCAACAGGCTATACCAGAGCCTAAAGATTCTACAATGTGTGTTGGGAGTTAGTGTGCTAGATGGTTTTATCTGGTGTGTGATTCAGGGGCCTTGGTATATTACACAGCAGATGGAATATTGTTCATGTGATGCTTTTTTCCCTATTGAATAACTGTGTGTGGTGTGTGTCTTTGTGTGCATATACATAAATGCATATGCAGCTAAGGAGGCAAAGGACACCTTGGGGTGTTGGTCTTCAGCTTTCCCCTTGCTTCGGATAGGATCTCTTGTTCACTGCCATGTATGCTAGGCTAGGTGGCCTGCATGCTTCCCTGGATTCTCCTGTCTCTGCCTCCTGTCTCACTGTAAGGATGCTGGAAATATAAACACCCAAGATTGTACTTTGACATAACTTATGGGGAATTAGAGCTCAGGGTCCCCGACTTGGACAGCAAGCACTTTTACCCACTCAGCCATCTCTGTCACCTCTCTTGATATTTATTTTTCCCTTGAAAGCAAGAGCTAAGGAAAAGTCTCAAATTAACACTTCGCAGCTTCCAAAAAGCTATCAGAGACACAGTTGAGTGTGGAGCTTCCAACAGGGAGGCAAGAGAAGACAACAGCATTTTACGTCTGCCTCAAGGCTGTACAACAAATCCTGAAGTGTTAGAAGGGAGACACAGGGGTCCTTAGAAATTGGGTTATTTCTAGCCGAAGTAACTGTTTGTTTTGAGAATGAAGTTCTACCTGGCTGGAGAGACAGCTCACCAGGACATGCACTTGCTCTGCAAACATAAAGACCTAAGTTCATATCCCAAGAACCCATATAAATGCCATATAGATAATGCAGGTCTGCCTAAAATTGCAGCCTTGAAAGGCAGAGACAAGGGATCCCCAGATCAAACTGATTATAGAGACTAGCCATATGGATAACCTGATTCTGCCTGAGAGATACTGCCTCACTGAATAAGGTAAAAGAACAATACAGAGTGATTTCCAACATCGGGTTGTGTCTTTTACATACATGCATGTGTTTGTGTGTACCACACACATATCTGTCCACACACACACATGCAAAAACATGCATATATATACATGCATATCATACTCAAATAAAAATTGAATAAAAATCTGAAATTATCATTTTGATATTTTATGATATTTATTTTTCCATACATTAATTAATCTGTTATAGGTCCATTGAATTTTATTATCCACTTAGCCTTTCACAAGTGAAGGTATCAAGACAGTTGAAGTTTTCTCAGTTTGAAGCATAGTTGGATTGAATTCTGTTAATACAAATACATGATTGTGTCTGAAGCTTTACCTCTGTCGATTCTCCAACTGGGAAAATAACATGCATTTTCCGATATGGTGGGCCGATGGCTTTACTTTACTAGAGTTTGGCAGGGGAGAACAAAGCAAAACAAAACAGTCAAAAAACAACTTGTAGGGGTGAGAAAACAGTACAATTAATAAAGTATTTATTGGTTTAACTTGATTGGCCAGCATGAGGACCTGAGTTCAGTCAACAGATCCCATGTAAAGTGCTTATGCATGATGGTGTTGCTTGTAATCCCAACACTGGGGACATGGAAAAAGACGGAACACTGGGGCTTGCTATCAGCTAGCCTTGCTTACTAGGTGGAGTTTTAGATTGTTGACAGTTCTTGTCTCAAAAAATGTTATGGGCTTCCTTTATCCATGCACACATCATGGTGAACCCTTGCATGTGTACATATTCCACAGATAGAATAAAAATCTACAGTGCTTACTAAGCACTCTTCGCATTGCTTACTAAATCTGTCTCTACCTCAGCCCAAGTGCAGTCCAGACTTCTCCCCCTTTAGACTAGCTATATTCCAGCTGTAGATTAGTGAAAACAGTGATTTTTTTTTTCTTTCTGGTTTCAGGAAAGAGTATCTGAAGAAGAGAGAAAAGAGCACGCAGCCCAGGGTGATCTCCATGCGGCAGCTGATGAGGACTCTGGAAGTGAGCACAGCAGTGTGGAGGAGGGGAAAGAGGACAGCAGACTGCTCCTGAAGAGACTGAAGGCTCTGGAGGTAAGCCACCCGGCCATCCACACACTGAGAGGAAAACCTGCAGCTACTGGCACTGATTGGGAGTCCAAGTCTCCCTCTCTTAGTTCTCCCAGACTGATCCCATTCACCAGTCAGCCACTAGAATCCTTTCCTCGAGAGTGGACACAGTTAAAATTCTCTGCACTGGAAAGGTCTTGACCTGGTAAGCCCAGCTGCATTGCCTTCAAAGTGAAAGAGAGCAGAATAGCTCACTTATAATCACAGTCTCTAAAATTGCGAGCACTACAGGCAGGGGCCATAGAATACTTGACTTTCTCCCCCCAATGCCTCAGAACATGGATGCATGGGTGAATGAAGGAGCATAAGATCCAATAGTATGTACAATGATTGTGAAAGATGTGTATATGCTTACATACAGATTTTAATGATATTTTCAATAGATGCATTTCATTTGGAGATAAGGCAAGTGTAGATATTGACAGGTAAGATACATGCAGAGAGACCCAGCACCAAGGTAAGGGGTCTTTGATGGAGACCTCAATGCCCCACAGCCCTCCAACACAGAGTGAAAGCTCCAGATGGTCTACCTTAGAGGCACTTACATCAGTTTAACTGTTCATTCATCAATCTTCCTCCTTGTCATCAGAGAACTTCTTGCTTACTTGTTCTTGTTTGAGTATTTGACACTCTAGATATTTGAGATATTTGAGTCTAAAGTGACAGTATTAACTTGGCCTATCCGAAAGAGAGTTTAAATGAGAGGTTGTATAAATTTGGTTGGACTTGGGTATGTGTATGGGGAAATGTCTTGATTTCCTTGGTTAATCTAGAAAGATTCAGTCCACTATGTACAGCACAATTCTCTAGTCAGGCGGTCCTGAATGGTCTAAGAGTGGAGGGCAGGGAGGGAGGGAGGGAGGAAGGTAGGAAGGAAGAAGGAGAGGGGAAGGGAGAGGGGGAGAGGAAGATGATTATAGGGCATACAGACATTCTCTCTTTGTTCTTGAATCTGGGTGTGACTAGATGCCCCATGCCCTTTCCACTGTGATGTCCCCACAATTATGGAACATAACCTAGAACTATAAGTTGTAAATTCTTTCTTTTCTAAGTTTTGCTCTTTATCAGGTTATTTTATCTCAGAATAGGACATAAAATTAGAACATACATCTCCTACATATACAGACCAGCCTAGGGATGTAGTTTGGTTGGTAATGTGCTTGTCTATCATGCTGGTAGCGCTAAGTTCTGTCCCTAGTATTATAAAAAATTAGACATGATAGTATAGGCCTGAAATCCCAGCACGTAGAAATTGAGGTAGGAAGATAAGGAATTCAGGATCATCTTTGATTACAAAGTTCCAGGATAGCCTGGGTTACATGAAAACAAGCCACAAAGATAACAAAAACAACAGAACAATAAATTAAACCATAGTTCTGCTGTTGGGTCCACAAAATCTGGAAAACTTTTATAGTATGCAGAACCAAGATGAAGAGCATGTGGCCTTGCTCCATGCTGACTGTCCATAGCCCTGCCTTTGAGCTCTAGTATCCTTTAGAGAGAGCGCTGACCTTTAGATTCTTATTTCCTTAAAGCAGTGAACACTTGAGCCAGATTCTCTGAATTTTGTTTGAATCCTTTGGAAACTTCAGTTATCCAATCTCTTTCTGTTTTTCTATCCTTGCTTGAAGATAATAATAGTACACACCCTTCCTGAAAAGCAATGAGATTAAACCTCTTATTATGTCTACAATTTCCTTATACTTGGTCCCATCTATGTTTCAGTTTTATCTCTGTTGCTATGATAAAAATACCCTGGAGTAAAAGCAACTCCTGAAGGGGTTCATTTCAGCTTACAACCCCAGGTATCAGGTCATCATTCCTGGGCAGTCAAGGCAGGAACTTCAAACAGCTAGTCTGCATCTTCCGGAGCAGAGAGAAATGAACACATACATGCTTGCTCACATGTCTCCTTGTTTGTTCTCAAATCGAGTCTCTACCTATGTGTGGTCTAGAGACTTAGACCAGGGAATGGTGACACCCAAAGTGAGCTGGATCTTTCTACATCAATTAATATTAATAATGAAGACAGTCAATGTCCACAGGCCACGTCAATCCAGATAATTCCTCACTGAGACTCTTCCCAGGTAATTCTAGGTTGGGTTGGGTTGACACTTGAAGCTAACTGTGGCCTGTACTGATCTGTTCCAAGGCTGTTATCCATTCCTCAGTTATGTGCTTCCTGTTCATCTGAATAGAATAACTAAGACAAAACTATGATTGAAAAGTCTCAGATACACAGACATTCCTGAAAGCAGATGAGTGGGCAAATGTTTTTAGATCCCAGGCAGAAAAGCCATTGGCTACAGAAACATCTTGTCCCTTCAAGGAAGGGGAAGGGATCGCCTGTGTCCCCAGGGGTTTCATAACTTGGTGGGTTTTTTAATAGCTTTAGGAAACATTCTTAGGGGAACAGAAGATTCTAAGAGAGTATTTAAAAACCCTGCATGAACTAGAGTCAACTGGAATGAGTTGTTAGTTCTTACTTAATGGTTAACCGTGAAGCTGTTCTTATTTCAACTCATTGTCAGGAGAACATTGTGAAGGCCATTTTATTTAATCAACCTAAGAGGTGTTTAAAAAGGTCTTTGGCATCAAATGTTCCTAAGTTTTAGGATATATACATATTTATATTATTTCCCCTTCCAAGAGAGTATTACATATTGGGCAACAACTCTTTTATCTAATATTATTTGGATGAAATAACTAATATCTTGTAGTGACATTAATCCACATAGTTTCAAGTCACAAGTTATTTTATTTTTTAAATTGGACTGCTGTTACAGAAGAGTCATTGTTTATTTTTAAATTCTTGGTCTCATATTTGTTTAACTCACTACTTGCTCCCTGAGTTCGCTCTCTTATTTTGTGAGGATTCTGTGATTTTATTAAAAATATATTTATTTATTTGTGTGTGTGAAGGTACAGAAGAGCAATGCATATGTCTAGGTCAGAGGATAGCCTGTGAGAATTGGTTTTCTACTTCTGCCATGTTGATTCTGGGAAATTAATTCAGATTGTCAAGCTTGGAAGCAAGAACACTTAACTACTGAGCCATCTCATGGACCATCCCCCATTATTTTGTTAATGGTATGAATTTAAGTGGAGGGGGATTATGCTAGGATCTTAGCTAGTGCAGCTTTGTAACATCTGTAAGGTTGCTTTGATTGCTTGCTACTCTTGCCTCTATTTCCAGAAAGACAGCATTGCAGGTATGCACCACACCCAGGTCTATTACTGTAAGATGGATTTATCTTTTAGTTATATGTAATCAGCTTTTATATGAATTTTATATACTGTAGAATTTTGATTATTTCATGTGTATTGAGACATTTGCATAGGTTAAAATTGTTGTGGCTAACTAACTAGCTCATTTTTCTAGAGGTGGCCACAGACACCTACGTAGATTGTAGCATTTTAATTAAATTTTCTTTGGGAAGTCTATGGGGAAATGTTCCTAAAGGGATATAGATACCATGTAAATATTTTTTAGTGTTTTTCAGCAAAACTTGAAGGTAGCAAAGAATATTTTCTTCCAATGTGATTTCCAAGCAACAGTATTTGTATGTTCTAATGTCTTGGCCCTGTTATGAGAGAAAGCAGAGGTGACAGAAGGCAGACTCTCCTGGACAAGTGAGATGGCTTAGGGGTTTTCTGCCAAGTATGAGGATCTGAGTTTTATCCCTGATACTCACATGGCAGGAAAGACACAGTCCCTCTGGTTGCTCTGAGATTTCCATCCTGGTGCCATATGTTCGATATGACAAGACATGACACACAGAGACACACAGACAGACACAGATATACAAACAGACCCATACATATAAATACACACAAAGGCAAGAAGGCAAGAAAGAGAGAGAGGGAGAGAAAAACAGACAGAAAGACCAAGCTACCAAAACAAGTTCCAGTGAAGTAAACTCTGAATCTTGACTGAGTCTACTTGACTGGTGTGACACGAGTATTTAAAATACTAAATATGACTTTTAAAAACACTTAATTTACTTAAGTAACAGCTACCTGGGTAATGCCAGAGTAGCAACTGACTTTGATAATGAAGGAAATATGGCCCAGGTCTTGCATACATGGATCAGAGCCCCCACCTAGGCTCTCCACTGAGGTCCATAGGTTCTTGTGTTCTGGAGCAAAGAACTGGACCAGAGACATAGAGATAGCAGTGGAGATAGACAGTTGGTTAGAAGAGGAAGACACTGGTGAGACTGAAGCTGAGACAGGTGAGAAGCTTTGACAAGCTCAGCCAAGAAATGGTGAGTGCTGAGCCTCCTGGGTCAAGTCCACATCAGCTTCTCCAGTGCTTGTACAGACCATGCTTTTCTCACACATATGCTGATGTGTATGTGTAGCCCTGGTGGGGAGCATGCTCTAGTCTGTGCCAGGTGATGTCTTTTCTATGTTAATCTGGATCACTCCCTCCCATTCCTCACTCACCTGCCACACGCAGACTTCATCACTGCCCTAGACTGAGAAAAGTTTAATGCCCCTACCTTCCTCAGGACTGTGCCGTCCTATCCTACTCTCTGCTGAGTTCACTTGCTTTCCTTTTTCCTTTCCTCAGCTCTGCCTTCACCAGACTCGTGTGTAACTGTCCCCTTGGATGGATTTTTATCAAAGTCCAATCCATGAAGGACATTGATACATAGCAGGGTACCCTCGGAGAACTGCCCCTCTGCCCACTGCTTAGCAGCTCCTGCTCCTCAATTGCCAGCTCTCTCACAAAGCAGACAATTGTGTCCCCACTCCCTCCCACTCTAGCCAGTTCCCTGTCTGCTGTTGAGCCTGGGGCTCTGATCTCTCACCTGCTTCTCTGGTTCCCTCCACAGTCTTCCAGTGTTCCTCAAAGTTTCTCCCTAACAGGACATTGCCCTTCCTCCAGAAGAGTCCAGACACAGCCGTGATACAACACACGGGCATACAGCCACAGACACACACATTTTCTGCTTTCT